AACACCACAGTGAATTTATCTCGATCGGATGCAATACTTATTTTCTTCACATGATTTCACATCCATTCCCAAACTAACCAATAATTTCATGCTACATTACTGAACATTTTAAACTATATTTCAATGACAAGATGCACACTGAAACAGTAACATCAGAAATTAACAGCGCTGCAACTGTCAAAGGAGTTATTTTTTAAGACACAAACATCACAATTGAACAACTTTCTCCACTAAAAGTTGCACAACACCAAGGACAAGCTAAACTGACAGGACAACAACACTAACATGCACCAAGATATGCCATGGCTCTTGAAGGAAACCAAGTATTAGACGGTTTTAAGCAAACCGGCCTGGTTTAACAACAGAACCACCAACCCAAACACATGGAACTTAACGGGACATCTGGATCAACTTCTGAAACAAAAACATAAGACCCCTCTTGACATAGACCTAGGACAGAAATACTTTCCCTCTCAATACATATTACGCAACATGCATTCTCTATATGTGAGAGTCAAGCTGGTCATTTCATAATGGACACAACAACACAGATACCACAGCATCCATACTAATTGTGGCTGAAGTTCTATAAAACATGCTCATTTCTCTTTCATTCTACATAAAAACAGGCTATAGAAATTATAACACGAATAAATGGAGAAAACTGATGGTCCGACATTAAATCATGCAGCAGAGGCTAACTGAAAATATTGCTAAGTGCCTAATAACAAAAAGGTCTACAGTTTGTGATGTACTGCACACACATATGGAGTCCAATATTTACCTTGAATTTTTTTGTCCGTACTTACCCTTTAATTCCACTTTTACCTCGCTGTTGGTGCGTGCATTGCATAAAGAAGAACAGGATACTGTTATACTGGATAGACTGAAAATGAGTTTCTATTAAATCAATGTTTTCTGTTTTCTATAATGTATCCAAACCCAAGAACAAAAAGTAATACATTGCAGTGATACCATCTCTAAATGTTATGGCTGTATCAGTTTTCTTTTGTATTGCCCTGGCACTCTTGCCATTAACACACTTTCTGTACTGGTGTGACCATGCTCACTTAATGTACTGTATCTATGGAGGAACAGCTTTGTCACCTAGGCTGCTCACTTACAATGTGAACTACAGAACACCCCCCTCCCCTTCTCATTATCCTGTTATCCTAATGGGTAGATGTTCTGCAGTTTAAAGAGATGAACTGGGCAGGACTTATACGTAAGTAGCTCATTGGAATTCTGGCAGGATCAGCTGGTATTTTTTGCACTTATTAAGCTGATATAGCAAATACTTTCAATTGTATATTTAAAATACAAACATTAAGAAAATATGAGGTGTTCATTGTTAGGGTTTACATATACTGCAAATTATTATTACATAATTGCATTCACTTTGAGCAAATGTTTTTTTAAGATTTTCAAAAATATGAATACATAGTTAAAAATTTTGATTTAAGATGGTAGTAGAATTCAGATAGAATGGGTATTTACAAACAAATCATAGCACTAAATCTTATATATAGTTAGAGCTCCTGTATGCTTTGCAGAATATCACAAATACATGATATGACACAGATGAATGAACCCATCTTCTACTAGAAACACCAAAAGATTGACACAGAACTGACAATTTAATATAAACCCCTGTGACTGTCAGTGCCAATTCTATCATACAGAGATTGTGTCAGTCATGATTTTACATTGAACAGCTTGCACCTTGAATCCAGGTAAACCGATGGAGACTGTCAGTTCATATACAGCTAGATATAGGAAAATGTGTACAAATCATCCTGTCTATCACACAATTGAACTAATGTTCCAAAATAATGATGACAGGGATATCAGTAGCACATGTTTGCATTGCAAAAGCTGAAAGCAGCAGAAAATAAATGCCAGCAAATACTTCAACTGCTAGTACTGAAAGCATAAAAATTTAGTGTAAAAAATAGACAACAAATAGGTGCAGTAACATATCAAGGTAGGGTCCTTTTTCTTCCCAGACCTACTCTGCTGAAGGGGAGTTGTCCTCCCTGGGGCTGTGACCTCCTTCTTGCAGTAACATTTGTTATAACAACGTTCAAAGGTCCAGTTTAGCCTTTGGATTGTGAACTATTACATAGTATAGCCACAAACTTAGACCAGATAAAACTGAGACAAGGATAAAGCAAAGTAAAATCAACAGAATGTTTGACAGATGCTCAGCATCTTTTAATGCATTTTATGAAATGTTTCCATATGTGTAAGGAAGACTGACTTGGATCAAAGCTATGTATACTATAGGTTGAACCCTAAAGAACAGATGGAGTGTTTATAGTAAGCTTAGGTACAGGCCCATATGCTTGATAAAACAATGTTTACTGATTTTGCATGAAATAACTTTGGTTTTAAAAGGTCAATATCAATAGTATGTAATATGCAATACTGACATCATATGCACTGTAGCTACAATATTATAAAAAAAAAAAGATCTTGTTTCAAACCGAATAAATCAAATGTACTCACTGATGTAACATTTTAGATTTCTTTTGTTATCTAGCAGACTTAGGGTGAGATCAGACACCACATATTTGAATGTGAATTAAGAAATGTTATGAATGTAGTACAGAAAGTGCTTAGTAATTATATGCAAATAACAGCACTGATGGCATCAAAGTATTCTCACTAAGCAATACTACTGACATGTTTTTACGTGAAAAATTGTTTGTTATAGCCAATGCTTTTTTGGCTGTATTTCTCCTATGGATCACAAGAGTATAGTTCATTCTGCACTCCTGTGACCTGTCTGCAGCTCTGAAAAGAGCCACACCTAGCTCAGCACCTCAGCAATCCTCTGAGAGCCTGAGCCAGCTCCTCCCGCCCCCTCCACAGCCCATTGCTTCAGTAGAGGGCAGAGAGTCAGTGACTGACAGCCATGGCTCTCTGCTGGGTGTGAAGGGGAAGAACTGAGCAATCTGTGGTGTTTGATTACTCAGTTCTCACTAGAGCTGGCAGGGGACAGATGCAGCATTGGATCAATGCTGCATCTACCTAGTTCAATATAATTTTTTTAAAAGCCCATACTTATCTTTTAATGTTATTAAAAGATGCTAGCGAGTGAGGACTTTCATATCTCTGGCAAGCACAACCAAGCTCATCAGACATGACATTTGAAGGCAGTGATTTTATTGCTCCTCAACATAAACTTAACCCCTTGGCGCTGGCACCTCCTGGCCCTTTAAGGGTTTCAGAAGCCGGGAGGTGGGGTTTAGGGTCATGTGACCTCTGTGGCATGCCATCACGGCGGTCATATGATCAGGAAAAGTCCTGATCGAAAGAGGAGATCGGGACCTTTCCGTGAGTACCGATGTACATATGTGCTGGGAGTGTTTTTTTTAATAGAATGCAAATGTGCAGCCACTCGGCATCTAGGCCCAGACGCCAGAAGGCGGCACATTTGCGTTCGACCCGCGCAAAGAGGTTAAAATAAAATTCTGATGATATACATACAAACTAACTTCCCAGCAGCCATTCTGCAAGGATCACAGCAACTAAAAAAATTGATAAAGCCTGCCCATTAAAAATGGTTGCCACTAAGATCACTGTATATTGGTAATATAGAGTAAGACTAAAGGTAGCAATAGATTGTTACTTTTTATCAGCCAAATTCCTTTATCCATATACGCAGGGTGGATGGAGACCCCCCCCCCCCCCCAAATCCGACACATTGCATTCTGGCAGAGGGACCTGCTGCTATCAGAATACATGGATCACTAGCTGCAATTGGCTGCAGCCACTGGTTGACAACATTTTTCTAGAACTAGTTCAAGAGATACATAAAACAATGCAGACATGTGAAAGTGTGATATTTTGTTGGGAGACAGCCAAGACTAGCTGGAGAAGGTTCAGATCTTCACTCAGCTCCTACCCAGATTACCTAATCATATTTTCATACTCTAGTAATTGCAGCTGCCTTACTTATTAATCAAATATTCAGTCACTATAAGATCATTTTCATTTTTTTATCATTGCCAGTTAGTACAAGTACAGTAAAAACATATTTAGCCAATAAAGGGTATCACTTAAACTTCAAATTTTCTGTTGTAATTATATAACTTAGGTTACCTTGTTATAGTTTAATCATCAAACAAAAGTTTGTACCAGCCATAGATGGATCGAATCTCGGCCAGTTCAGCTGGGGCCAGCTTCAATCCATCTATGGGCAGGCTGATTGTACTGAAGTTGATCGATCAATCAACTTCAGTACAGCATGTTAGATGTTCCTTAATGTGATCACTGACAGAAGCTGTATCCTCCAGCAGGGATCATTGTGTTCTGCTGACTGGGAAGGCTCCCCACCTGCAGAACATAATAGCGCTGTGGGGGAGGAATTCCCCCAACAACAATAGCTGTGTTGATGGGGAAATCAAGCTATTTTTTTTTCCTTCCACTAATGGCAGAAGGAATGAAAATTACATAATCTATGGGCTGCTTAGAACTATTTGCAACTGCTTTAAAAATGTGTGATTTGAAAACAAAAGCTTCAGTTCCACAATGACATCAATGCAGTAGAACCATGATGACATCATCATATTTGCCTCAGTGACATCATGCAATGCCAGGGGACTCTGCACATCACTATTCTGCTCAGGGAAACTTTCAGTAATGTCCATTCACTCCAGTCACATTCAGAAGTCTTGCAATACTCGCTGCATACAGTAAAAATGTGAGAAAGATCTCTTGTGACACCAGATTCTGCTACTGATAAAGCAGTTTTAACTATTTTCAAGGTATCCGCGCTGAGCGAACTATTGGCGCTTTATAAAATACTGTATAATAATAATAGATACATGGATCAGTATTACAATATCCAAATTGCATGGCATTTTAACAGACTGACATTGAACAAATGTGCCACTTATAAGAAGATATCATGACACAAGTACTAGGCAAAAAGCTAGTGGTAATCAACATTATGCTGAATTCAAAAAACACCAAAGTAAAGACAATCTATTCACCTCATGAAGCCATTTCTCAACTAGCCCCTTGGCATGCGCTGGAATGATTCTCATCACAAGCTCCACTTTTTCATTCTCCGTTGACTCCATGTGAGTGATTTCCTTCTTGGGATTAAACCTGAGTTTTGCAATGCCTTCAAAGCATTTCTTAAGGTGTGGCTGAACTCTAAGTGGATCTTTTGTCTCCGAAAGGATTTCTATCAGCTCATCATTGGACAAAAAGAAAAACCTGACAGGATTTCACAGGAAACAGTAAAACAAAAGAAAAGAGCAACATGAGTGACATTCAAACAAACATATTTTAGACAAACATGCAGAGCTGACAGAAAAATGGACTGTTTACCTTGGAAAGAATAGCCTTTTCTTCTCCAAATAATCATTCAGGCCTTTCTGAATGTCATCCAACAGCAATTCTGCCTCCTTCAACTTATCCCAGCATCTGGGGCTGCGAGATAACCCTCATGGCGTTGGCCACCTCCACAGACTCCCTCATTATTAGCCTCCTGGTGGGAGAGATAGAGTATACCGAATGTAATAACCATACTTCACACAACAGGCCTTCTCTCTTTCAAATTGAAAATCCCCTTATTACAAAACAAGGGGTGATTTTTTTTCCCCTCCATACCTTTAACTATGACTGCCCATTCATGGCTTTTTACAAAAACGCAGCTGCTTTTTAAGCTTCAAATAAAAAAGAAAGAGCTGGCCAGTAATTCTTCTGAGGTTGAATGCATTATTCTTCAAGACACTTTGGTGAGGGTTTTTTATTTTTCACTGCAAAGGACCAGGAAACTCCTTCGTCCATCTAATTATGACTGAGCTTTGTTAAGTGTTATTAACACACAATGCTGGATTGATCCCATTCTATTATTTGCTCTAACCAGTTCAATAAATCAACACAGCTTTTTTTTTCTTTTCCTGGGAAATGAGAGAACTCATTAAGAGGACTCTGTGGCCTTTAATGATGGCAGTAGAAACAACATAAGACTAATCCAAAAACAACAACAAGCACCTGTAAAAAATAAGGTCTATTGTTCCACCAAGATGTGCCTAGTACATGGAAACAATAGAAAACATGGGAGAAATTAATCAGAAAATGTTTACATCCGCTACCATCCACATACTAATAATTTTTTTCTGTGTATTACATTGTTTCCAATTACTGTCCACTAGCATATACACAATGGAAACTGTAACCTGGGTCATGTAAGAAGGTTGCAATTTACAAATGTAAGTGACCCAGAGCAGTGAGCGGCATTATTATGAACATAAAACAAGGAAATAAAACAGAGAAAATGCATGTTTAGATTATTATTATACAGGATTTATATAGTGCCAACAGATTACATTACAGCAGGCTTCATACACACAATGTTATGGGAAATGTGACAGTGTGTAGGAAATATATATTATATATATTTGTTAAAACATGATGTGCTTGATTGATTGGTTAACTTTTTTTTTACAAAAAATTTAATTATTCTGTACTGTTTTAACCAAGATCTATCAGTAAATTCATTCACTTTTAAATAATTTATGTTCAGCTGAGCAAACTGAAGCAGAAAACACAGAAACTCTGTGTTTGGAGACATTCTCCCACAGCCACATGGATGTCAAATTGGGAGCAACGGCTATATATGCAGCTGCTGCATCCCAATAGACATAAATGAAACTGCCTGCACACAGATGCACAGAATACCTACGCATCCTGTGGGGGCAAATACGGCCCTCACAAAGATGTACATTCAAGTTCACTCATGTAAACAAGACCATAAAGCTCTCATTGTACATAATATTTAAAAAAATCCAGCATAGCACAAAATACATCTAAATATAGACAATGTTGTTAAATAATCAAACAGACTAAACTGTCTAGTAAAGAGTAAACATTAGATTTAAAGTGATTTTTTTTTTTTTTAAAATAACAAGCATATCATACCTTCTCTATGCAATGGTTTTGCATAGAGCAGCCACAATTCTCTTCTTAGGTCCCCCACTGGTGATTCTGGCTTCTCCCCCTTGACCAGTGCTCCCAATAGCAAGCTGTTTGCTATGGGGGCACTGGTGCATGCTTGCTCCCAAGCCTCGCTCTATGCGTCCATAAGACACATAGAGCAGTGGCACAGCCCCCTGCTCTCTCCTCATTGTCTTAATGGCTCCTGCTGCTGTGTCTCAGCCAATAAGAAGAAAGAGACCTGGGACAGCCAAGGCTCCCGTGCACATCACTGGATCAAGATGGGGCTCGGGTGAGTATAAGGGAGAGGCTGTGGGGGCTGCAACACACAGAAGATTTGTTACCTTCATGCATAGAATGCATGAAGGTAAACAAAAACCTTCAGCCTTTACAACCACTTTAAAGCAAAACTTCACTCTCTCAATCAACAATAACTACTTGCAATGCTTGCGTATGCTGCTACTATTAGTAAATAGATAGGAAAGTATATCATATTTACATGCTTTAAACTTTCTTTTAGATTATGTCATACATTCCAGGATTCTTCAGGAGGGGAGGAGGGGTTTTCTCAGCTAAGCACACCCTCCTGCCAGCATGCCTAAGCTAAGGGCAGATGGATTCCAGGAAGTAAATGTTACATAAATCATCTGCCCTTACTCAAGATGGCCACAGCCAGAAATGCTAGGAGGTGTTTCTCAAAATGAATTCTTAGCAAAATAAAGCCTGGTACACATATTGAGAATATCTGATGAGCATCTGTTTTTTTTTTTTAAGTTTTTTTGCATACTAGTCTCATATCGAAAATGAAGAGGTTACTAAAGTTACAAAAATTCTCGTATAACAGAATACACCTTTGGAAGTGATGTAATGTGTTGTATTGTATTGTAATGTATTCTTTTGTTTCTGAGCATGTGTGGTTTTGCTCTTCCAATTTTTTTTGGACGAATACTGTACTGATTAAACAAAAATCGTACAATCTGGTATCGTAGGAAAAAATGTTCCTGTTTGACCATTCAAATTATTTTGGTGAAAGCTGTTTGCTAACAATCTGATTATTGTACGATCACTTTGAAAGCAGTATTTTTCATCTGATTTTCTGATTGTGTGTACTAGACTTTAAGCTTGGAGACTTGGATGGATGGGGGAGTTGGCTTTGAATATAAAATGAATTAAATAGCATTTCAATTCTGTGGTGCTCAGATGTAGTGTAGTTCCACTTTAAATTGACTAAATTATTAAGTTGTCTGAAAGAAAAAATTGTTCTTATTACCCTAAAGCAGACAGAATTTCAGTCTCAAGGTTTAAAATGTTATTGGCTTTGTGAAGCAAGAACAACTCCTCCTCTGATAAATAAGGTCCAAAGTTAAGTCAGCCGAAAGCTACAAAAAACCCATGATAGCCTTACAACAGTGTAAAAAAATCAAACATCCTTGTTATATCTATATTTTTACATATTTATTATGAACCATAAATGCATTCTCCCAGAGAGTTTACTATAACTAGACAAATAAAAAGGAAATGATCCTTTGAGCTTTTGACTAGTGACTAGTGAACTAAACCATACATGTAACATACATAAAGCTGATCTCACTTAAGAATAACTACTAATATATATGGACTACTATATGAAAGCTGTCGTTGAATAACTTTACTCTTGAAAATTTTTTACTCTTGAAAATCAGTTTATATATTTTTACTACAGTGATTTCAGTTTATACTACCACCTGTAACTAGAAATAAGTCTCTTATAGCCAGCTATACAGTATCACCTTAATAAGCAATCTGGTTGTGTCTTGTGGAGTGACACTCTCAGTGCAGTGAAAGACACAACTTCTTTCCCCAATAAACATGTGTATATTTCCATTATGTACAGGGGCGGACTGACAACTCATGGGGCGCCCGGGCAATAGGGGATCATGGGGCCCCTGTGTCCTTGCCCAAACTCAAAAAAAGCCTATGAAAAAGGTACCAGGGGCATCTCATGGGGCCCCCTACTGACCCCGGGCCCTCGGGCAGTGCCAGAGTTTCCAAATGGTCAGTCCGCCCCTGATTATGTAATTACCATACACAGACTCCTAAACCTAACAGACATGATATGACAGTAGCCCAATCCAGTATTTTTCGCTGAATGGGAAACCATTTTATTTGTAAGGAAGCCAGATATCTATTGATAAAACTCTTTAGTGTAAAACATTGTTTGGCCACCACTTTGTATGCAACATCTGCCTACACTGATCTGCTCTTCTCCTTTTCCTTCTGTATAAGAATGAAGATAAACAAGAATGATTAACCAAACATTCATAATTATGAAGCACTGCCTTCAAGGCTGGTCTCATTTTGGCTGCAAAACTGTAATCAGGACACTAATGGACAAACTGATCTCTCATAGCACAGTTCAGTTTAGTTAAAGGAGAAAAAAATCTAAATGATAATTACCATAATGACAAATGCCATATATATAAATATATATATATATATATATATATATATATATATATATATATATACGAATATATATTTTTTTTTTTTTATATTTTTTTTTTTAAATTTTAGGTACCTATATAGCACCATCAATTTATGCAGCTATTTACATATATATTGTATATATTAACATCAGTCCCTAACCCCCAAGGGTTTGTAATCTATGGTGCCTAACTTACATTCATACATACACATACTAGGGCCAATTTAGAAACGATCCAATGAACCTACCAGCATGTCTTTGGAGTGTGGGAGGAAACCAGAGTACCTGGAGGAAACCCATGCAGGCATAAGGAGAACATGCAAACTCCAGGTAGGTGGTTCCATGGTTGGGATTCAAACCAATGACCCTAGTACTGCCAAGCGGAAGTGCTAACAATTTAGCTGCTGTGTGTGTATGTGTCATTTAAACACCTGTGTGTATCATTTAAACACCGCAAGTTTAGGAGATATTCACTGTACCTTCAAGTACGCTTCAGTATGGTCTTACCTGTAGGTTCTAAAGCGGCCTTTACTAATATATATATATATATATATATATATATATATATATATATATATATTAAAGGCCGTTTTAGAACCTACAGGTAAGACCATACTAAAGCTTACCTGTAGGTACAGTGAATATCTCCTAAACTTGCGGTATTTAAATGATATGCACACTATATGCAGCCAGTGACATCACCGGAGCATGAGCTCTGAAGGGCCGACATACCCGTGCTGTCCCTTCAGAGCTCTGTGCTGTAAACTGTGACTCTTGTGCAAGAGTGACCTCTTTGTGGCTCAGCCATTAAAAGGACCTGAGCCTACGAACCCAGAAGGAAAATCGGGGGAAGATGGAAACTTTGTCAGTGGTGAGGGCTTCATTCCAAGGTAAGTATTTAGTGTGATGCACACTAGCACATTATGCCATTGCCTTGCAGGGGATTTTTTTTTTGAAAGGCTGCTATTTACTACCATTTTAATTCATATCTGACTACTGCGCCTAATATTTTTTTTTCTAGTTGAACAATATCACAAATATACTATATACCACAATTGTCATTTGTTTCCATACATACTAATATT